TGTGTTGTGATTGCTTCTGGGGATGCAGAGTAAGGCCAAGCATGCAGGAATTGGGAGGTTAGGTAGACCTTTTTTTTTTTTTGTAGAGAAAGAGCTCATTCTTTCTCAAAGCCATGAGACACTTGAAGATTGTGCCTGAAGGATCTGTTCTACTGCAAAACTGGAGCCATCCTCCGTATTATCCCAGTGGGTTCTCCGCAGCTCTGGTGTGGTCACACTCAGGGCTGTCATTTGTAATGGACAGCATGACACCCATGTCCTGCTGAACTGTCTGAACTGTCTGAACTATGAACTGTCACAAGTCAGAGAGAGGAGACTGTCTGAATCCCTTGACCCTCCTCTGTCAGAGATCTCTCACCTAGGTACTGACTCCGATTCACTACAATTATACACAAAGGCTGGTGGCAGAGCAGCCAGGACTGGTGCTAGAAAACAAGCCTCCCTCCTCTTTCACTATACAAATCTTCAAAGTTCCATGCTTGGGTAATGCATCCAGCTTTTCCTCCTTGAACAATTATAGGTATGCCATGACACTGAGCAAGAGAACTTAGCGGAAGTTTTTTATCTCAGACTGGCCTTTCGGCTTATATCTGAAGACTCATGTTGGGTAGTGTGCTAGAGATAATCCAGTAGTCAAGCAGCACTACAGTCATGAAATAAAATACCTGAAAATTACTGCATGTGAAAAACACAGTGGTTGGTACTGGCATCTGGCACAGCCAGTGCAGCTTGGACAAGCAGGTGGCTAGATGTTGCTTCTAGCTTATCTTCCACCCAAAGCGCAACAAGGGCCTTTGTAAATGTGTGGCTACCTCCCGGTAACAGTACTCTCATGAATGTCTCACTAAGAGCTATTTCCATTTGCCAGGACGTGTGGTAGCTAGCCTGAGGCCATCCATTGGGCTGTGGTAAAGCACAGTGTTGTGACTCCCAGGCCCCCAACTTTTCTGTGCAATTAAAGACAGAAATCTTTCCTTTATCAATTCTGTAACACAGCACCTGGTGGCAGTCAGACAGTCATCTGATGGTTTCATGAAGCCTTTAAAGCCCTGGAGAGAATGGTTAAACTTACTGTTGGAGTGTCTCGTCTTGTTTTCTTGCGGACAGAGTCAGATCTCTTGTAACAATATGAACTGTGAATGTATATACTGCAGTATGTTTTTTATGCCAGGATTATTTACCAAAATTGGGCCTTTTGGGGTTGGAAAGGAGGAGACCATTTTGTAGAGTTTCCTACTTATTCATGAATGCATATGCACAATGTGGTCATCCTCTTGAACTGGCTGATCCTCCATCCCTTCCAGGACTGGGTCTGCACCATTAGGCACTACTTTGCAAACAGCTGATGAAGTTTTCCTGTTCTGGGGAAGGGCCCTGCTCTGTACACACTGGAGACCACAAATTCTGTCCCAGCTACTGCTTTCAAGTGAACTTGGTGTACCTCATGGGAAGCTACAGGTTGATGGCACACTGTAGCTACTGGAAGGTTTTGTCTAAGTTGTGGCCAGAAGCAGGAGGAGTGAGAACAGCCTCTTTGCCTTCACTATCTGAAGTGTCTGCTACCCACAGCCCAGCTTGTGTTGCCATGGAGACATTGCCCTGATGGCCTGCGAATTCTGATCATTTCAGTGAAAATAATTTGATGCAATCAACAGAGACATGGGGTTTGCAGTTGCCACACACACACAGATACACGCACTCCTGTGACTGCCTTCTTTGTGTCATGATTTCAGCAAGCGAGCAGACGAATTTGCTTGCAAGACATGCAAACGCTGACTGCATGTCAGCCAGAGGGGATGGTTACAAACATGGCTTTCTCCAGCTCAGATTAACAAGACCTCCTCCTGCTGCTTGGAACAATGCATTGTTACCACAACACGACAGCTAGTTAAGTAAAAAAAAGCCAAACTCAATCCACCCAAACATTAAAGCTTTCCCCTCCCCTTCACCAACAGACTTTTCTTGTCAGGTTTAAATTGTTTGCCAGTGAGTGGTGGAAAAAAGCTGTTGCTCTGTCTTGGCCCATATTTATTTGCTGCCTCAAATCAATAGAAAGTAGTACTGTGAAGCTAACATCAGGGGGTGCAAGAAAATGGCATTGCCCTGTACTAAAATTATGGCTACTTTCTTGTAGAGCTGAGTCCCACAGGTATCTATTTTGTGCTACTCCATTTCAGCTACACTGCCTGGGCTGACATAGCTGGGCTGTATGCTGTAATTTCAGTTTTGCAAAACTAAGAGCAAAATCCCAGAAGGCACAAGCAGCATTACCCAGGCTCAGTGGACAGGCTGGCTATGTTGCCTCTCCACATCTCAGCCCAGTGTGAGGTACACTGGGGGGGCAGTAGGAGAGATATTTGATGTTGCTCTTACTTGAGGGATGCTGCTACATGCTTGCGAGCGAGCCAGGTAGTGGATGGGCGTTGCATAGAACTGCAGTCTTTCAGTCTGTCAAGCTTGAAAGTTTTTCCAGCTTTCAATTTTGTCTAGAGTTTCTCTCTTAAGACTCCCCCCTTCTTCAAACAGAGCCTCAACTCTGGCTGGGTCCCAGAGATAGATACCAAATGGTGCTTTTTTCCCTTTCTTTTGCTCTTTCTTCCTTCTCATGAAGCTGGCAGACTCTCCAAACACACATCCAACCAACGCACAGTGCATTCGAAAACAGGCCATCTGGCTGAGCACTCCTTGAGAATGAGGAGACAAGAAAAACAACCCTCTTGGAGCTGGCAGCCGAAAGGCAGGCAGCCCGTACGGGGACTTGATCTCGTGGTGCAATCCAAGAGCCATCCAATCCAAGGGCATTGCAAAAAAGCTCTTTCCTAATGAGCAGAATACGGCTGTCTCCAGAAGCGGCTCCAAGTCAACAATTTGAGTGGGATGCTGTAACTCTCCTCGCTGCACATGTGCTCATTAATTAAAGCCACTTTGGAAGATGCCCCTGACACCCCCGCCAGGGCTGCCAGCCTACCCTCCTCAAAATCCTGCTTGCTGCTTTGCAGCCCCCTGCTGGGCAGGGAACTGCAGATCCCAAAGGAATGATGGAGCTTCAGCATCCAACTCTTAACCACAAAATGGACCCACTGCATCGCTGATGAGCAGCTGCACGGGGAACACAGTGCTGGAAGGAAGTTGCACTCCATTTGCTTTGCTGTCATTTTTTTCCCATCTGAGTTTGGTAACAACCAGAGAGCTGCAGGCAGAAAACCACTCTGGGTAGGTCAGCAGGCAACAGGAATGGAAGTGTGCTTAGCAACCGTGTGTTGCAATCCTTTGTTATTTTTTTGATGGCTAAGGACTAGGTTTACAAAATCAGGATGACTGAGGTGAATGCAGACTGTTAGTAGTCAAATCCCTTGATACAGTAGAGCAGGGAGTACTCACTGAAACTAGTAGGAGATGAGTTTAGAACAGATTAAAGATGCTACATTACATTAGGTAGGGAATGTCAGGAAGCTGCTGGAGCAGCACGCTGCAGAAGCAGTCAGTATCAGCAGGCCCAAAATGGGACTGGACAAATTCCCAGACAACAGATCTGTAAATGGCTGCTGAAGGGAATAGATGGTGGGATATACAGTCTAGAATCTCAATCCAGTAGAGGTGAATGCTGAGGAAATGCAGGTGGAACAGAGAGAGGGAAGAGACCAGGGCTGTGCATCTCCCTGGACAGCCTCTCCTTTTGTCCCAGCTGGGAGCAGAGTGCTGAGCTGGGGGACCATTGCACTGGCTCTGTTTTTAATGAGAATCTCTGTCCTTATGCCAGCTTGATCTGAAGGTAATATCAACAGGCTGCTGATTTGGTAAATTATCAGAAGGAAGCTAGAGTTTGATTTGTAGAATATGCTTTCATGAATGTTAACTGTCACAAGACTAGAGTAATTATATTTCACACAATGTCTGAATGATTCATTTGAGCCTTTGTCTTCTAGGGATCTCTCTGTTTCTGAACCTGCTCTTTTAGTATTGTTGGGAGAAGTGATGGCTCTGCCTTTGGGAGACCACACTCCTGTGTCTCAGTCAAGTATATACAAATTTCCAATGGCTAGTTACAGTTCTGCATCTCTGCATAGCTATTTCCCATGTTTATGCTGTGGCTTTTTGCGTGCAGTTGTGTATCCACACTCAGGGATTACAGCTCTTGATTTTTGATTTTTTAACATAAGAGTAGAGTTCTGTAAATGAAAAACTCCTTAGTTATCTTGAAAAAATATTTAAAAGGCCAGACACACCAGATCAGGTAATTAGAAGCCTTGTGTTTCTTACCACTAAGATATCAGAGACATTCAGAGTCTCTTCTTTTTATCAACATATAATTTAGTTGTCCCAGCTGACAAAGATGAGGTCTAAAATTGAGATTTTGCATCACTATGTTTTTATACCCAGTGTTTTATAAGATTTAACAATTACAGGGAGATGTTCCAAAAAAAAAAAGGGG